TTCATATAACTGCTATCATAACAAATATCTTGTAAAAAAATGGAAAATTTTTCTATTCGCCTGTTATTATCATTTTATATACAAAGTCAGCGTTTTTCTTCGGTAAATAATGAGGAACTGAGTTTGAGCTGAGTCCAACATTAAATTCGAGTCTCTGAAACATTATCAAACTATAAAGTCGATGTTCTAAGCGCAGATTCTGTCTACCCCATTTCGTACTCGAAATTTATAAGTCTTTTAATACTAGATATATATATATATACATTTGTCCATATTCACCACTTAAATGAAAAATTACAAAGAACACCGCAAAAGATATACATATCTTTCAAGGTATGTAGAAAAATCTTATCGCTTACTATGCTGATTCTCCTCAGCGCAATTATGTATACACAAGTCTTATTTTTGTATGAATTTCAAATAAAATCTTGATATATTCAATATATAATCATATTTTCGCAAATATGCATACTGCAATTAATTATGTTAAATATTAGGTCACGTAACAATTTAATTCTTCTTTTAACAAACTTAGCTACATAGCGTAGTATAGTACATATATAAATATATATACTATTTGGAAATAATGCAATTAGGCGTTGCACGTACGTGTAAGAAAATATACAAAGAAGTATATACTTCAAATATAACTTCTTATCAATTTAACTGGAACTTCTGTATTATTTATGCATTTTTATAAGATTCAATCTCAGAGATGCGCACATTCTCCAACGTTTTTCAACGTTCTTCAATTTGTTTCTGAGCTATAAAAGTTTTTTTACATCATAACTATTGATCAATGTATCAAATTTTCATTTATTGAAGGACCATATTGCAGTCTTCGTTTTGTGAATCAGCTGAAATTTGGAAAATATAATATATTCTTTTCTGGGACTGCTCTTTCATTTATGTGACTGTACATATTAGAAAGCGAATAACAAGCAACATGCACAACGTTCATTCTAATATTGAAATAAATGTGTATTAGATTAAAAGCGGAGAAGTTCCATATTAAAGATATAACATTTGATTCCAACGATTTCACAAAACGGAGAATCAACTCAATTAAAAGTATCAAACAGCGATTAGACGACGCTTAGACGATACTTAAAAATTGCTTTGAACATTGTCCTTTCTATTTTTATTGCCTAGCATATATTCACAATTTCGCTCTATGCCTGTCCCTTTGTTCACGATAACTCGCACGATAACACTTAAATCGCACGCAACAATTTTTACATTCAAAATTTTAATGATTTCGCAAACAGTGCAGCGGTAGCCTGCGTTTTATCCCCGTTAAATCTACGCAATTCCGCAATAACTTGCGCCCTGGTAAAACCCAGAGCCTCTAGTTCCTTGACTGTGGCTTCCGTGAACGGATCATGCGGATAAATTGTAGTCTCTAAAGCGGCGGGCCTTGATGACCCTTGATTACTGCTGCCTTGCCCGTCTAACAAATTTCCATGAAAACATTTATCATCCAGAAAAATTACCGTAGGAAAAAATAATGCTCGTTAAAAAGAAAAGTAAATTATCATAGGCTATAAATAACGATCATGCAAATTAGATATTCATAACTTTAAGTTGCTCAAAAACAAAAATTTAATAATTTAAATTTATTTGAAGAATAGGCGATGGCAGAAATATACTAAAACAGACCAGGCATAGGGAAAAGGTGTAAAGATAGTATTTTTTTTAATAGATATAAAGCGGAAAAAAGGAAAAAAAGATTAAGAGGATAGTCTGGGTTGATATGTACTTACCATGCTGCCTCTGTTTCTTAGCATCCCTCGTGCTATCCTCGAGAGCTCGCTGAAGATCTCTGTCATCTAAGGATTCATCACTGTTTCCACTTAATTTTGCACACTCTGGTAAATCACCTGTAAAAATAATTATTGATAAATTATTATTTGCTAATATTTTTTATTCTAACGTTTCCTTAATTTTAATTAATTTGTATACAGGGTGGGGAAAAAGTATGGAAGCAAACAATTATTTCCGAAACTATTCATTTTTCGACAAAATGTCTTAGACATAATTTTTATGGTATGAAAAGATGTATTATGTGGCATAGACGGCATGACCTTGAAATGACCCTTACG